TGAGACAGCGCTGCTGGAACTTTTCAGAGACCCTGTGAGATCCTGATCAGAAGGGCAGCTGCTTGGGGGCCCAGTAGAAGCAGGAGCCATCCCTCTCTCCCACACCTACACCACTTTTGTATAGAATCTACACAATCCCTTGACCTCCAGGATGGGAGGTTTTAGTGGAGTAGAACTCAAAGTCTGCTCCCACAATCAGCCCACCAGCACCCTGGAATTTGTTAGAAATGCAAATCCCCTGGCCCACCACAGTAAAATCAGAAACTCTAGGGGTAGGGCCCAGTAATTTGGCTTTTAAGAAGTCCTCCAGGTTATTCTGATTTAAACATGCTGGAATTTGTCTGCAAAATTTAATGAGACACTTCCAGGTTTATGTAAATTCAGGGTCCACAGGTGCATGAACCAGGAAATAAGGACTGCCTTAAATTCTGTGCCCTTGGCATATCAATCACATACTTTCCTTATCTTATCCAGGCCCTGAGAACCAATGCTTTCCTTATCCTGTCCAGGCCCTGAGAACCAAGGCACCCAAATTGATGGGCATTTTCCTAATGGGTGGTTGTTGGTGGCCCAGAGGAACAGCTTCTCTGAACAAGTGAAAATTAAAGTGCAAAGGCACTGACTTGAGGGCACATATGAGGTATATCTATGGGGCTCCACCCCAGAAGCTATAGGGATCACTTGGCAATGGTGGGCTGGTGGAACTTCAGAGGGAGACCTGAGCCTTCTCCTCTCCCCATGGAATCTAGAGAGCTAGCAAACCTTTGGCTATAGGAATTAACATGGAGAACATGTACTGAGTAGCTACTGCTTACTAGACATGCAGCTGAGCACCTGATTTCTCACACTGTCTCATTTAACTCTCATTGCAAAGGTAGGTTTTATGATCTTAGTTTTGCAAAAGAAGAAACAGAAACTAAAAGGTTAAATAATATGTATCATATCTCAAACTCATAAGTAGTAGACTGGGAATTAAACACATTCTATCACCTCTCAAATTTGCTGCCACCTGCACTGAGATTAATGAATTCTCCTAGGTGTGACTTCCACCTGCCCCCACCTCAGACAGTGTCCCTGTTTGGTTCTCCAAGTTTGGCTTCACACCTTGGATCCAGTCTGCCAATCAAATCTGTAGACAACTTTGGGTGATACGCCTCTCCTACCCTGGACTTTGGACTCAGCAAGACTGAGCATGGCTCCTCTAACTGACTTTGTAGATCTTTCAACAAAAATCCTGGGGAGAGGAACTTCCTGACCTGGATGACCACTCAGACCCCACCTGACCCTGCATACCACTTTGAATGTCCCCCTTCTAAATGAAATCTCATAGGGCAACTAATGTTTACAAAGAATTTAATATACTGATTATCCCTGAAAAACTTCTATGTGGTTAGACAGAAGATGGGGTTGCTTGTGTAGGAGCCACAGACACACAATGCCTGCCATTTCCAGGTCAGTGCCTTTTGGGTGGAAGTACAAGGGAGAGAACCTAGCAGTGTTCAACTCAGCCACAACTTTAATCCTGTGACCATGGAAAAAATGACACATGTCTCCAGGCCCTATCTTTAAAAAAATGGAGACACTGATAGCAATGTACTACCAGGATTTCTGCTGCTCTTACCACCTCTTACACTACCCAAGTATATACATAAGACTGCCCAACTCATTTAGTCAATGCCTATCTATGGGTTTGTGTACCTGAGGGTATGATAAAGCTGTTCATGGAATGAAGCATTTATTGAGGGTGCCTTTGTTCTATGTAGTTTAGAATATCATGTCTTGCCAAGAGGGTTGCAAGAGATAAGTGCAGTGGTCTAGGGTGTGGAAAATGTGAGGTTGAAGGTTCAGCCCACAGAGGAGGGATAGTAGATGAACATCATATTTTAGAGGTTTAGAAAGACTATTGAAAGTGTGTGGGATCTGCTAGGAATGCTCTGTCTTGTCCCAAATGTGATTCCTAAAAGGGTGCTCTGCCTCCTTCTCCTAACTCACCCTTGGACTGCCAGGCACTGGGCAGTTCTACAGATGGAGCCTCCTAAAGCCAGCCTTCTTGGCTGCCCAACTGGGGACCAGGCCAATTTCCCCACTTCCTTTCTTCCCTGAGACCAGAAGACTTGGTAATTTGCCCATCATTGAAATGCAAATTGTTAGTTTAGATTCCTTAATTCCTGAGAAGGAATCCTACCAGCTGTTACCAGCATTGTCTCATGGCTGGTTTGTGAATTTGTTCAGGCTGGGCAGCAGAGGTACCATCTCAAAGGCAACCTGCTTAAGGGACCCCCACTAGAGGACTCTTCAAATTTTGGAACGTCTGTGCATCTTCTGTGAATACTACCTTGGTTTTCCCACAGTGACTGGCACTGAGAGCCTTAAAGGACACTAAGAGGACAGGGTCTCTCCGGCCAGCCAGGTCAGCTCGCTCTGAGGGAGACGGAGGGGTGGAACGGGCAACCACAGAGAGGTCAGGAGGGAGGCCTGGGTCTCTATAGCCTAAGAGGAAGGGGCAGAGAATTGAGTCTGGGAGAGAAGAGACTCTTAGGCCAGATAAAAGGCTGTTCTTCTTAGACTTTCCAGAATAGAGCACAGTTAAGGAAAAAACACAGCCAGGAGAAAACACACACACACACACACACACACACAGAGCCAGGCTTCTCCACCCCAACCTCTTCCACCACATCCCACCCTATCCCCAAGTGGCAAGCTCCCTCTAGACAAAGACTTTGCTTTTGCCCTTAAATCAAGTTCAATTGGCCAACACATTAAAAATAAAACACACAACTTAGAACCCACCTGCTTTTCTAACTCCTGCCCCTCTCCAACAAATGTTAAATACAAGTTCAAGAAACAATTAATCAAGCAAAGCCTTTTACCACAGTATCCACTTCTGTTAGAGGCGCTGTCTGGTAAATCAAGAAAAACGTACCATTTACTCACTAAACTAAACACAATCCCTTATTATACAATTAACCAAAACACAATTGTATGTAATACAATTATATGGACTACAATTACACAAAAGTAATGATGCGGTATAGATGGCAATGACTTTCATGTAATCGAAAATAATGAAAGCGTCCTTGATTAGAAATTAAAGTATCATAAGAGATCCCTATTGATAAATGTTCCCTCTATTGAACTCCACTTTGCAAAAGGCTCTGCTGGCTGGTGAAGCTGGATGCTCCCCCCTCATTGTTAATAAAGACTATAGGGGTGGCAACCATTCTGTGTAGTATCTTTTATTCTGAAGTCTCTAATCTAGCACATTCTAATGAAGCACACATTTTATTACCCACTTTTCCAGCTGGTCAAATAGAAAAAAAAAAATGAAGCAGAAGAGCCAAGAAGTCTGTGTGATTTGTTGAGGATCCCATGTGTAGTGGTATTAACAGAAAAACATGCACATAAAGCTCCATCAAATTATATTGGTCATTCCGAGCATCAGAGGAGACTACAACTTACAGAGCCGATTTCTGTGCTGCTCAGGAGAGGTACCTGATACTTCTCATCATTGCTCCCCTGGACAGGGGCAGTTACCTTCCCAGCTCTGGGCTGGTTCTCTTTCAATCCATCCTTCTTACTTTTTCCTGAGTACTCTTTATAGGAAGCACGTCTTATACCTTCTTTCCTGATTCTCACCTAGCACATGAGGCCGCATCCCACAGGCACACAAATTTCTTCATAGTTGCTACTAGACCCTATCTCTAACCATATTCACACCACATACTCCACCACAATGACTTTCCATCTCCACCGAGCTATATTTTATTGACTCTAAGACATTCTTCATTGTAAGACATACCATTATTTTATATGCCACTAAGAAAGAAATGTTGCTGATTGAACAATGATACACCATCGATTATAAAATTCCTCCCAATATTAGAGATTTGAAAATGAAAAACCAGCATCCTGAATTGATGAAATACTTGCCAGCCATAATTTCTCCTATTTCTCTGCCATTTCCGACACTGCATGCAGAGAACCTATCCAGAGAACAAGTCTTGCTTGTTCTTTAAGATCCAGCTCAGCACCACTTCCTAAAAACCTTCTTGACCACATTCTTCCCAAGGCCAGACTGAGTTATGGCTGCCATATGTCCTACAAATAAGGGTGTACTTCTTGGGCATTTATTGCACTTTATTGTAGCAGCTAATTTATTCCCCAGTGAGACATGAGCAGAGACCCTGTATCACCAACACATAGGCAAGGACTTAACACATATTATTCACCCATTTAATAAATGATATTTTGACAGGGATGAGCAAAATTGTGAGAATGAAGGAAGTAAGTGCTAGAGATAAAACATGGAGAACATGATAAACCTGGCTGAAAATTCAGAATCAGTACTCTTTAACTTTCTGCAGCATGTCTTTGAACCTAGAAACTTTGTAAGAGGAGTCGGAGCCCAGAAGAAATAAAAAGAGAAACCGAGTTTCTGCTAGATTTGTGAGTTGCAGAGTATAAATGCTGATTATCTCTGTCTGCAGCCTCTTCTCTTCTGGGCCAAAGAAGCAGTGGGTTAGGGGTAGCAACAACAAAGGTCAGCCGCCCCAGGAGTCACTGTACCCCTGGTGCCATCTGAACCTCTGTTCTAGACCCTGAGAGCCTGACGCTCATTTGCCCCCATTAGAAAGGACGCTCACTGCAGTAGAGAATAAAATGGTTTAAGAGAGAAGTAATCCTTCCCTCCTTTATGCTTTACTCTTAACTTCAAAGTAATCAAATGTTGTTTATGCATAAAATTTTAATCCTGTCACAAATTTGTATTTTGATTTAATTTGCATATCCCATTTACTGCAAGTCAACATGAAGAGAGACTCAACTAATTTAAACCATTTTTCTCTGGGCCTGAAATCCTTTCAGAAATATTTTCCATTAGGCAACTCAATTATGTCTAATATGGCTAATGTCAGTGGATTAGAATTTTGGTTAAAGAAACTCATATTTAGAACAGTGAGAATGGGAAGAGGGTGGGAGAACAGAGAAGAGACAATAATTACCTGTCTTTGATGCTACACAGATCAATGTGTAAATCACTAAAATTCCCCAGGGAACCTTGCTGAACTGAAATGAGGTCCTTGGGCTGGTTATCAATAAAGATGAGCCTCATGCAGCCTTGGAAAGCCTTAATGGGATTTAAACATTGGGAATCGGTGAGATTGTCAGGGCACCCTGTGGGACAGAGAAAAAAAAAATGAAGAATACTGAAATGATCAGTCATTTCTTTGGCGACCTATTGATGGAGGACCTGGAGGTCTAATTATTTCAGGGCCTTTTCATTCACCAGTGCACGCATTTTTGTTGTAAATCCTAGCATTCTCAGAGAAAGGATGGAGTTGGTACAAAATGGGGCATACTCAATCGCTGTACAGAGCAGAAAACAAAATGTGTTAAAGGGAATACCAATACTATAACATTTATCTCATTCCTATTTCTTTTCGCCTATTGGTAAGCTATCCACCATTCTGTTGTGTGGTATACTTCACTCATCCCAAGGAGGCAACATATTATAACTACTTGGGAATTTTGGTTCTGTCTCAAAACATGCTCTAAATGCACAATTCAATTCTGAATTACACTTTCAAAGGAAATTATGCTTTGGGTAAGGATGGTGGCAAAGTAATTGTCTGGTTAATTGTTAGCATTAACAGGCTTAGTTCCTGAGAAAGGTACACAAAGGAATGTAACTGGAATTTTGAAGAGTTGCACAAAGCAAATCCTGGCACCAAAGGAACTAAGGGTTTAAATGCACATAGTTATAGGGCTGTAATAGCACACGTGAAAGGTTAACACCATACCTTTTTAAAGAGCGTTCTTAAAAAAAAAAAAAAAAACGCATTGCATACTGATTTAGCATAGCTTGCAACCAGGACATACCTGCTTCTCATTAAGACAGGTACAGAGCAATGTAGGTATACAAGTGCTTGTGCTCTTTATAAACTCTATCCCAATGGTTTTAATAGGTTCAGAGCATATGGGAATGCAAGCTTGAAAACATGGCAATAACCCATAAATAACTGGGAATTATTTCAGCCATTTCTAATAGACAGTCACTGCTGGGCTGAAGCCCAGCAGCTGGTTAACAGCTCACAGCCACACTATAAAATGAAGAGAGATGCTACAAGTTCTAATTGAAGCTGTAGAAAGAATTTATGTAAGTTGACTATTATTACTCAAACTCATTTTTCACCTCCCTTAAGTTTACAGTCTACGTGTGGGGCGCTTCTTTAAATACTGTTTAAATCACAGATAAATCTTCACTTTATAAACTCAGTGCCCCCTAAACTTGGGGAAGGAGACATTTCCCCTTTGAGGCATTTCAGATGCCATCATTATTGAACATCGTTTCCCCCAGAAATAAGTACAAGAATGCTTCTCTTTCTCTGTTGGTGAAACATTGCATGTGGTGCAAAAATTATGCTGTCTGTGAAATGTACCTATGGGGCCGCTGAGAACCTTCTTCTGCAGCCTTTATGCTACATTCGCTAGCATCCCTTTGCTGTCCCAACCTAGTGGGTGTGGAGAACACAGATTTGGCAGTGTATCCTGGTCCTAATATTTATACAAGTGACTTCATCTCAGCAAACACCAGTCTTATTATCTGTGAAATGGGGCTAAAATTGCCTATCTCACAAAGTTACCCCATGAATTAAATGAGGTAAGACCCACAAACCATTTAGAGCGAATGGAAGTTCTCCCTTCTTGGAGGAATCCATTGTCCTTGCATACACGGGGAAGATTCAGAATGAAGGACAGAGGCCCTTCCTGGGGCCTTAAAATCAAACCACAAAAATATTGCTCTACGCTGCATCTCTTCCAGGATGCCCCGATATGTACGCTAAATCTGTGCAAAGCCCGTTTTGTATTTCAAAGCCTAACCACATGCCATAACATGAGAGAAGTGATTTGTAAATTCTATTTGAGAGACTGCACTTTATAATTTTACATGATACTTCCTTTAAGCTTCCTAATGGAAAAAGAATTAGCAACCTGAGAACAGGTCTAGTCCATTCCCATATTTATAAAAGTCAAAGCCCAGTTTGTCCATTCCTTGCCCTGTTGGAAGCACTGGGCTATACACTTAAACCCTGACCTTACTGAAGTTTTCCAGCAATTTGGCTTTGCTTCCTCATGTCTGAGATAAGGGAGTTCAGGGACCATCAGCATCTTGCTCAAGGTCACACAGTGATGGAGTGTACTCTCAGAGACTATTTCTTTAATACCAACACGTGACTAGGAAACTAGATACTAATATTTTAATGAAATAAATGCCTTGAAAAAACTAAATACAAATGAACATCATCCATAAAAATACAGTGAATTCCTAATCATATATTTTTCATCCTTTCCAGTTTGCCCCGTGTTTTCGTCATTGGGAAGGTCCCTAGGATTCACCCGGCAATGGAGAGAGCTGGATCTGTGCTGTCTGCCCCACGTGGAGCTACAAGTTCATGGGCCTTCTAGACCTTCCCCATGTTTAGAGCACCACTCCATTGACATGGCCTACACGGATGTCAGGAAGGAAGGAACAGATAGGGGATTCAGACAGTAAAGGGGCAAAGGAATATCCTAGAAGCGGAGCGTGCTGATTGTGCCTTCCCACCTGGATTTTTCCTTTTGCACATACTGCTGACTGTTGGTGCGTATTCTCCAAGTTTTCAGCTGACTTTCTCCTTCCCAATGTGATCACAGAGCTTGGCATGGCTGCAAAAATCTCCTTTGGACATGTTATGTAACACTGGCTCTTATAACTATTTTTTTTTTTCCTTTTTTTCCCTCCATACTGACCCACATAGTTCATATTTGCACAGCTGTCAGAAAGTTTCCTTCTCATTTTGTGCTTGGGAATGGGTACCCGTGGTTGTGTGTGTGTGTGTGTGCACGCATGTGTGTGTGCGTGTGAATGGCCTAATTGACAAAAAAAAATCATCGGGGTGAAATAATTGTTCACTGCGTTCTCCTTCCCTCCTTTATTTTCAAAAGCTGGAGAATTTACCTCCAAAGTAGTAACTATTTCCAGAATAAATCTGCACGCGGGTGGTGTCCTGGGCCGGGGATGCTGCATCATTATCCAGAGAGAGAGTGATGCGGTCCCTTCTGGCATTGATGCTAACTGAATGCCACAAGCCATCATTCAAACTGCTGCCTGCAAAAGAAACAGGAAAGGCAAGCATAGGGATGATTGAGTGGGGAGGTCTGAGGCAAGTAGGGCTCATCCTCCTCACCTGCTGCACTCCCCGTGCATCCTTGTGCTTAAACCACAAGCCCCACATTTCCACAAACAAACTTTACCTTTCTTCCTCTGTTTACCATTTTAATTCTATTATTTTCAAAGTGTCTGAACCATGTCTGATACGTTTGGTTTCAAAACAAAAGGGAAAACACAAATTTATCTGTATACTACAACCAAAAGTTTTGGCCATGTGAATTGACCTCTTGATATAAATGCAGAGTAAAAGGTTGAAAGGAAAAAACAAAACAAAACAAAACAAAACAAAAAACTTCAAAACATCCCTGGTGATTTCATCTCTGGGTGGTGGGGTTATAGGCAACTTTAGTTTTCTTTTTTTTTTTTTTAAGATTTTATTTATTTATTTGACAGAGAGAGACACAGTGAGAGAGGGAACACAAGCAGGGGGAGTGGGAGAGGGAGAAGCAGCCCCTCCACCGAGCAGGGAGCCCGATGCGGGGGCTCGATCCCAGGACTCTGGGATCATGACCTGAGCCAAAGGCAGACACTTAACGACTAAGCCACCCAGGCGCCCCGCGACTTTAGTTTCCTTACAGTTTTCCACAAATGCCTTATCTGCATTTTTTAGGAAAAAATAAACTGTTCTTAAAGGCAAAAGTAGATGAAGAATGCTAAAATCTAATGACGTGTCAGTCAGAGACAGCCTCTCATCTGAGGGAAGTAACAGACCAGTTCAATCCCAACATTTTTCTTTATCTAATTAGGTGACACTGGCTGAGTTACGTACCTTCCTTGAACTCTGGCTTTATCATCTTCAAAGATCATCATTCCTACTCTGTGATCGTTAAAAGGATCAATTGAGATCAGGCAGGGAAGTTCCTAAGACAGTTGCAGGCATAGTAGGTGTTTTGTTGTGTATTGTTTTTTTAATTTTATTTATTTATTTATTTATTTATTTATTTATTTATTTAGAGAGAACATAGAGGGGCAGAGAGGTAGTAAGAATCTGAAGCAGACTCCTCACTGAGCACAGAGCCAAAGCAAGGCTCTGATCCCATGACCCTGAGATCATGACCTGAGCCAAACCCAAGAGTCTGACACTTAGCCAACTGAGCCACCCACGCACCCCTGAATTAGGTGTTTATTACAAGTTAGTTCCTCCCTTGTTCTCATGCCCCAGATGTCTTTGGTGTGTACTACCCTGCTGGCCTATCTGATTGAGAAAACTGATCTGGGGATTTGTCATGAAGATTGGGACTATTTCCTTCTACAAAGTGTATATCTATTAAGGCTGTCAGATGCCAAGTCCCTGCTGAAGGAAACAGTCTTATTTACTAGTCCAGTCCCAAAGATGTGTCTGTGAAAAAAGCACATTGACACACATGTTTTCACTCAATAGACATCTGTTGTGCCCTGCTATGTGTTGAGTGACCTTCCTATTCTTATTGCCTCAGTTTTCTTCCCAGCCAAATGGGGAAAATGATTGTACTTATACACCATTGTGAAAATTATACAGTAGTTAATACAGTAGGGCATGTAGAACAGTTCATGTCACATCATAAGTAGACAATGATGTTAGCTAAAACAAGTGGACAGAACAGCAACTACAAAATGGCCCCTCCCATCTGGAAGTGTGGAGAGAAACATCAGATAGTGTCTATAGTCTCTCGTTAAATGGAAGAGATGCATGCAATAAGAATTGGAATACTGTCCTTTGAGTTCAGGGTAGTGGGATAAACAAAGAAGCAAGCAAAAAACACTTGCTATTTTGGGTGGTGCACTAATATGGGAGCAGAGAAGAAAGAAAGCCTAAGTAATGGCATTTGAGGATCCCAAAAAGGCTTCACAGCAGAGACAGTGACAGTTCAGGGAAGTTCTGAAAAATGCACAAGAGCCCTCTACTCATAGAGCAAGAGTCCAGGAGACAGAGAGACTGTACAAAAAAGCAAAGGTCTGGAATGAGAAGCAGGAGAGAACAATAGGAAGACAAGTGAGAAAGGATCCAATCACCCAGGGGCCTGGAATGCCAAACAAAAGAATGCATTTCCATAATTTCCTTGGATAAATGATTCTGGAGAGTGCTTTATTCAATCCAATTCTATCAGAACCTTTGGGGATGGGACCCTAGGCATCTGAATTTTTTAAAAGCTCCCTGGGTGATTCTAATATATGGATAGAAATGAAAATCACTGCTTTAGAACAATGGGAGTCCATGAGGGGTCCTTAGCATGGGAACGATCTGACAGGAGGTACATATCCAAAGACTCCGGTGGCAGAAGACAGCTGGGAGGAATCAAGGTTGGAAGCAGAACTGATGGGGTCTCCTGCTAGCACTGGCCCCAGGAGACAGAATGATGAGAGTTTCAGCCAAAGTAGCAGCAGTGCAAATGGAGAGCAAGATGGATTAAGAGCTATTCCTGGAGGTAAAAGGGATCAGACTTAGTAGAGCCTACTGGAGCAGTCCCTGAGAAACCAGCTGGGAAGCAAGCACTGAAAATCAGAGCCGAGGTCTGCAGGGCTTCTCAGAACAGTTACTGAAGAGCTTATGCGCCTGAGCCCTCAGATGGTTGGAGAAGCTGCCCAGGGAGAAGCACAGCACCAGGCTGTGGCCCAGCTGCGTTGAACCACGGCAGCTGTGCCCCATCTGCTCACAACAGGCCAGATGTAAGGGACCCTCCTGCATTACCAGCCAGCTCCCTAGCAGTCTTCGCTGCAGCCCTGAAAACCTGCTTGGGCTGCTCAACCCGGCGGCTTTACTTCCTCCCAAAAGCCAGAGTTTGGGTCCTAACCACAGGGACTCTGCTAATGAGGTAGAGGCTCTGTCAGGTGTTTCCTGGTGATGAACATTTGACTTCTGGCAGGGGCATTTGGGGGGCATAGCCAGCTGTGGGTCTTTACTTCTTTTTACTCTCATTTGCATGCTGATTGAAATGTATTTGCATAATATAGGAGACTGCATCTGCAGACAAACTATAAACTGTTTGGAGTCAGTAAATAATTCAACTTAGAGGATTTAAAAAATAGCCCCTAAGGGCCCAGTGCCCTACTAAACATCAGGGCTAAAGTAAAGAAGGAATCAGAGGCCAAGGGGAGAGTTGCACCTAATCAGAGATAGATTCTCTCCTCCTTTTACAGATGAAAGTGGCCTAAAGGAAGAAGTCTGATCCATGTGAGTGGCAGGGCCAGAGCACTGGCCTTTGTGTTCTGATTCTGGGTCCCCTCCCCTTTCCACCTCACTATCCACTTGCTCTCTTTAACATTGTTATTAATGAGAGTTTGCTTGGTTGTTTTTCTTTTTCCTTTTTCTTTTCTTTCTTTCTTTGTTTCTTTCTTTGTTTCTTTTTTCTTTTTTCTTTTCTCGTCTGCTTATCCTTTTGGTTTGATCTTTTTGATCTTTTCCTCCATGGTCCTGAGTCCCTACAGGGGGAGCCCGTGTGAAATCTTCACTCTTCTGAAGAAAATTATTAGGGCAGTAGTTCCTGATACTGACCACACAAAGAGAGCACCCAGGGAGCTTCTGAAAGGACAGGTCCCTGGGCCCCACACCAGGTTAATTGAGGCAGGCTTCAGGGTAGCCCCAGACCTTGGAAGTTTCAAAGATCCCCAGAGAGTCCCTTGTGCAGCCTGGGTTAACAAGTACACCATTTGAGGTTTCCGAAGAGGAAGAAAAGAAGCTGGGAAAAACAAGGCTGGTTTTAGAGGAGCTGAGCTGGGAACAGATTCCAAGGCAAGCAAAGTGACATATCTCCTTCTAAAAATCTGTTTTCTGCTGGGGTCCTCCTTCCCACTTCATTCTGTTAATAGCTATAGATGATAGATAGATAGATAGATAGATAGATAGATAGATAGATAGATAGATAGATAG